GCTCCCTCTGGCTGCTGTTCTGCTTCCCCTGAGGCACTGGTGACCAGAAGGGGCAGCTCAGGCTTTTGGGGGGCTGCCAGCTTTGCCCGCAGCAGGGCAGCTTTCAAGGGCAGGCTTAGGGACGGGGAGCAGGAAGGCTGACACTGGCCTGTGACACCACATCGCCCCCCCCCCCCCCCGCCCCCCCAATCCCAGGAGGAATGTGATTGGACTGGCTCCATCTAGACAGAATGCTGACGGCATAGTTGGGTTTTTTGACTTCAGAGTGATTCAGAATGTTTTAAAAATGGAAAAGTGTGAAAGAAATGGAGTGATTTGTGGCACAATTTAGGCACGGTAGCGGCTGCGTTCACGTGGGTGGAAAGCTGGCAACAAATAAGATGATACTTGGAAGGAAGGTGGAAAATCGGCCTTGCAGCCAGGGATGAGGCCATTCATCGAAGTGCTGTGAGAAAAGTCCTCTCACAAACAGCAGCAGACGAGGGGGCAGGAACTGCCAGACGGAGAGGCCAGCGTGCGCCCCCTCGGACCCACCGCCTCTGCAGCCCCCTGCATGTTGAGCACGCAGGCACTGATGTACAGCACGCGGCACACAGGTGTGGGAGCACACAGATTCCCAGTGACACAGGAACCTTCATACATGGGTGTGAGCACACGTTTGCGTGTGCCTACTGCACAGGAGTGCGGGTACCCAGGTATGTAAGCACAGAGGTGTACAGATGGGGAAGTACATAGATATTTGGGTATGTAGGTGCAGAGGCATGCAGATACAGATGTGTACATTCACAGGTCTGCTAGCGTTTAAAGCATGTCCGTGTATAGGTGCACAGATGACTTAAGCACACAGGTGTGTAAATGCATGGGTATATATGTGCTCACTGCACACACACTCATGCACCTGTGTGCTTATGCCTGCACACCTACGCAGTCACATCCCCATTCACCTGTCATCGGGTGCCTCCCAGACTCGGTGGACCCCTGGCTTTATACACCCCCCCCCACCGAAGTGTCACCAGACACTAACCTGGCTGCACCCCAGCTCCTCGAGAGACTTCTTTCCCCAGGGGGTGCAGGAAACAAACCAACACTGGTCACTTCTCCTGCCTGCCTGCCCAGCGCCCCGCAAGCCCACAATGTACGCTTCCCTGGACCAACAACTTCACCTGCCCTCTTCTCAGGCAGCAGCCTGGAGAATTATCAGGACCCTCAACGCAGCATGAACGTGGCCCTGAGCTGCTGGGATGGGCTTGGCCCGCTGGCCCCCAGCCCACGCCCACCCTCAGCTGACCTTGCCCTCTGCCACTGCTGCTTCAGTCAGCACAGCCCGATCCTACCCTGGCCCAGGTGCTGTTGTCTATTGCCAGTGGAAGGGAGTGGGGGACGGGGAATGGAAGAGTTGGAGACCGAGTGCCAGTGCCCACCCTTCCTCCATGTGTCTGAGCCCAGCTCTGCCCAGGGCTCCTCTCCTCTGCCTCTGGGTGGCCAGGCCTGGTGAATGCTCGCCCTTTCTCTGCTGCTGAGCGTGGAGCGACCACATGCACAGGGCCTACCCCTCAGGTAATCTGGCCTGCTCAGCCTCCCGGGCCCAGCCCATACTGGACACTCAGGGTAAGGCAGGGCACTCGCAGTGATTTCTCTTGTCTCAGAGCCCATGCCCGGACCAATGCCTCTCCAGGGCGGCGTTCAAGGGCCCAGCTCACGAGCAAGAAGGCCACCTCTAGGCTGCAGGTGCCCCAGTGCACCTGTGCCAGCAAGCCCAGCACACTCACCATAGATGGGAGGGAGGGGACAGGCCAGCGCTCCTGCCCTCACCTGGGCTGAGGTAGGCTCCCAGGGCGTGGACTCACCGGGTTCTGGGTGTCGGCGTCTGAGCTCTCGCTGGCCTTCTGCTGCCCTAGCTGCTCCACATAGCTGTGCACATCAGCGCTGAAGCAGTCTGCCTCGTAGAAGGCACTGCACCAGCCGGGGCTGCAGCTCTGCAGCTCAGCAGGGCCCTGTGGCAGGCCCAGGCCACCCTCCTCCAATGGGGCCACTGCCCCTGGGCTGGGACAAGTGCTAGTCAGCTCAGGACCTGGGTTCCTGCCACAGGCATGCCCGTCTCCAGTTGGAGGCTCCTTCTCAGCTTTGATGGAGAGCTGGGGTCGGAAGCCCACCTCGAAGTTCCCCTGGGAGAGTGCTTCCGCATTGAGGTCTGGGAGTGGTGTGGGCGAGCAGGGGGTGGCCTTCTCTTTCCCTGGGAGGAAAAACCGGGTTAGAGACAGTGTTCTTCAGGCTGTCAGTCAGAGTCAGGGCACAGGCCCCTTTGTGGCCCAACATCTGCTTCCAAGAGGTCAGCAGGTGTCCAGGGGTTGTGGCCCGCTGTCTGGCAAGGGGGCTTGTCTCTGGGACCCACTCCCAAAGCTGCTTTCCCTTCCCACCAGCTGAGCCGGAAGTGGACATTGGTCCATGGCCTTGATCTGTTTGCAGGTGGTGTGTCCAGTGAGAGCGGGTATGTTGGCACAGGGTGGTGGTGGTTCCCTTCTCGGGACATTCTAACTTGGGGTGGGCATCTCACTGGATGCACAGCCCCGGGAGCACATGGAGGCTGTCTCCTGAGCCTAGCCCCCAGCCCGGTCAGCCAGCTCTCCCCTGGTTTCCACGGCTCCTCCATGTTTTCTTCTGGAATTTTAAAAACAAACCCTCTCACTTGTCACATTGCTTCTCAGTGGCCCAGTGCACACTGTGGTGGCCTGGACTAACCCCCCCTCCCCATCCCGCTTTCAGCTCCTGTGTGGTAGCCTGGACGCCACCCCCACCCCCCAGCTACCATCTGTGTGGTGGCCTGGACCCCAACTTCCCTGGTCCTGGGAGCCCACATGAGAGCATTCCCACTTTGACTTGCTTGGATAGGGATTCAGTGCCAGGACCCACCCCTGGTTCCCAAGTAACAGAAATGCCAGAGTCACCAGGCACACACTGCTGCCCTGCCCGCCTGCAGCCTGGATACTGAGCTGAGCAGACCCTCAGCTGAGCCGCTCCGGGCTGGAGGAGAGGCCCGGGAGGGTGAATGTCTGCGGAGGCTGCTGAAGACCTCGGGATGTGCTGAGGGGCTGGAGCTGGGCTGGGCGGCCCCCTGGGAGATGTCCGCAACTACTACTTACCAGGCCTGGTCACTGAGGGCCTCCTGCTGGATGGAGAGCCACTGCTGGACACATGGGTCTCGCCAGCTCCCTCTGGCTGCTGTTCTGCTTCCCCTGAGGCACTGGTGACCAGAAGGGGCAGCTCAGGCTTTTGGGGGGCTGCCAGCTTTGCCCGCAGCAGACACCCCCCAGTGCTGTGCCCAGCCTTCAAGTACATGGTACATGGGTGTTTTAGCAGCCACTGAAGGGCCCTCTTTGCCAGTGGCGGACACTGGGACCCCCAGGAAGCAGAGTTGGATGCTGGCGATTGGACTCCAGGGCGGCATTGAGGTGACCCAGGCAGACTGGCCGTCCTGGGGGGTGCTGGGGGAGGGGGCACCCACCTCTCAGAGGGTGCCGCTGGCCCGTTCACCACCTTGAACAGGTTCTGCAGCAACTTGTCATTCCAGTAAAGGTCGCAGAATTTCTCAGAGATGGCCCCGCAGAAGGTGGCGTAGGTGAGGTCTTTCAGGGCATAAATGTATTCCCCTGGATGCAAAAAGAGCCATCTGGAGGCTTCTCCACTTGGAGGGAGGGGTGGGGCCGACAGTTCCTCCTGACTTCAGGGGGCTCGTCTGGGAGGAGGAGCTACCAGGCCCTGGGGAACCCCAATCTGCTCCTGGGCTTGAGCCCCAGGGCTGTGCATTTGGCTAGGACTCCCGCCCCCTGGCCTGGGGCCCCATTCCGCGTCCCATCCCCACCTGCCGCGCACCCATGATCAAGGCCTCCAGCCCGTTGTCCAGGTAGCCATCGCTGGCGAACTCCTCCTGGATGAGGCGCATGGCCTCCTGCAGAGAGGGGCAGGCGGTGGTCTTGTGCAGCGGAGAGGGGTCCGCGCCTGGGGCGCATGGCTTGCGCTCTGCCGCGCGGGACCGCTCTCTGCCCGAGGCGCTGCGGAGGCGCTTGGGACTGCCCTGGGCCGCCCGTCCGAGGCCCTCAGGGTCTTGCTCTGGGCGCTCTGTGGCCGAGCCTTTGGGCGTCTTGGATTGGCGGCGGGGGCCGTGGGCGGCCGTGGGGACAGGTCCCGGGCCCCCGGAGGTGGCCCCCAGCCGGGCGGGCTCCTCCGGCCCCTGCTCCTGGCGTGCCTGTGTCTCCTGGGGCCGCGCGGGTGAAGTAGCTCGGATCAGGGAGCTGGCGGTCTTTACGGCTGCGGTCTCTGCTTGGCGCTGGGCTGGGCCAGGGGGCGCAGGGCAGGGGCGCTCCTCCATACACACTCCGAGTCGCCCTGGGGCTTCGACTTGCGGCCCCGCGCCCGGCTCCTGCCTCTCGGGCGTCTCCGAGGGGGAAGCTGCCAGGTAGGGCCCAGGAACCAGCGTCCCTTGGTCCTCCCAGCCTCCGCGGGCCTCCAGCCCCTGGATTGGTTCTGGGAACTGCGCGTGGTCATTCCTGTCGGGAGAAGAGGCACCGCGTTCAGGGCCCTGCGCCCTCCACCTGCGGCGGGCCTGCCTCGCACAGGTCACTCACGAGGCGTCTGTGTCTTGCGCCAGGATGATGGGTTTGAAGTGCGTGGCCTCCGAGGTGAAGGCGACCGGCAGCGCCGGGATTTCGGAGCGCGAGGCGAGGCTGCCTGGCACTGGTCCCTGCACGGCAGCCAGCCGGGAGTCCTTGCCGATGGGCGTGAAGCCTGCCACAGACCAAGGTAAGGCCTTAAAGCTGTGCCTCCGCTACCAGAAAGCAGACAGTGCGGGGACATGCGGGCATAAGGGGGCCCCTGGGAACAGGAGGGGAGGGTCCCTGAGAAGCCCTTCGGTCGCCTGATGGAGCAGCGGTAAAGCTTCGGGCCTGTTGGGGATGAGCAGATGAGGACATGTACTCCGTGGCGGCAGTTCTGCAGTGCTGCGGCTAAAAGTCGAACACTTGTGGCAAAGGCCATGTGTGCCCCCCTTTCAGTCACCATGGAAGATGGAGAAAGAGCGCCCAGGCTAGGGCTCCCTGGGCCTGCTGGGAATGGGTTCCTTCCACTGCTGCCCTGCCGGAGGAGGTCCTTTTATCTCTTATACTGGGTGTTTGGGGTTCCCCTGGGCTTGCTGTGGGGAGGAGGGGGTCCTGTGACCTGCTATATTAGAGGAGGGGGGCTCCGATGGGCCTGGTGGGAGGGGTGATTCTTCCACTTGCTCAGGGAGTGGGGGTGGGTGCTGGGACCTCTCCAAGTGGACTGAACCAGGCCAGCGCACAGGAGAGGGGGGGGCAGATAATTGAAGCCTAGCCCAATGGTGCCAGCAGCATTAATGTGGCCCCCTTGGGGGGTCACAACACCACGTGATCAGCCCCACCCCCATCCCTGTACTCACTCCCTCCACTGCTCAGTGGTGGGCACTGTGACCTCATCCCACCCGAGGCCTGGTGGGTGACAGGGTAGGGAAGAGGGGTGGAGGGTGGGTGGTGGAGGTGGCAGGTGGCACCAACTGGGCCTTGGAGGCTCCTCCCTGTGGTACCAATGCTTATGCTGCCACTGCTGCCCCTGCCCTGGGCCATTGGATGGCACCCTCTCAGAGTGTCAGAGTGCAGGCCTCACTGTGCACCCAGGGTTGCCCTCTGGTGAGCCTGAACCTCTTAGGGTTCATGGGTGGACGAAGCCAAGCTCTGGGCTCTCTGGGTTGGGGCTGTGGACACGCTGCCCTGAGACTCCTGGCTGCTCACAAGTGCAGTGTGGGGCAGTGGGGCCAAGGGGGGTGCAGTCTAGGACCCACCTGGTCTGGGCTTGGGAGAGGGCGTCACTTCCAGGTCAGGGTCAGCCACTGAGAGTGCGCTCTGGAGACCGATCATCTCCTCCTCTTCATGGACCTGCTGCAGGGCACCGCCCCCATTACACAGACCCCAGACCCAGTCAGCCCAGGGGCGCCCTCCACCATAGCGTGGGCCCCGGGGGTGGAGGCGGGCTTGCAGGCAGAACTCAGTTCTGGTGGGACTGGGCTCCTTCTCCAGGTGCCTTGTCAGCCATCCAGCCGTTTCCAGCCAGCATCCGAGGATGGACAGTGATGCCTGACTGCTATCCTGAGTCACCCAGGACCAAACTCCCCGGTGCCTGAGGGCCTGCGCGCTGGGGCTGCGCGTGTCTGTGTTGTGGGACACCACCAGCAGCCCATAGGCCCAGGCCCAGAAGCTGTTGCCTTATGAAGCTCTGAGAGCCCTAGAGATAGGTGGTCAGTACACCTTCCCTTTCCTTCCCACTCCCAGCCTCTGCACAAAGAGTGCAGAAGGAGCCCTGGGCTCACCTTCCCTGGGAGGCCACACAAATGCCGCAGCAGCCACACCTGGTTGGCCCCCACCCCCCCGTGGGCACAGGGCAGAACCAGCGCTGGCAGTGGGGGTCCTTTACCTTGCAGGTAGATGCATTCAGGTGGGCTAGAACCTTCTTGCTGTCCATGCCTCGCTGGAGGAGGTAGCTGCTGCAGAGCTGAGGTAGGAAGTGCCACAGGTGCATGACGGGTACCCAGCTACTGTGAGCAATGGGGAAGGGGTGCACGGAGGCCCCCCCCCGAAGAAAGCCTGCCCTGGCAGCTTGCTTATAGAAGCCCTGAGTGCCTTGTTCTAGGGGGGCTTAGGCACCCCAGGCCTAGGTGGCCGGACGAGCCAGATTTTCTGCATCCACAGAAATGGCCTTCAAGCTGTTCTTTGGCCGGGGATTAAAAACTGCCCAAGAACTGCCGAGTGTGCCCCTCAGCACTGCAGTGGGTTGCCTCCAGGCCTGCACCAGCTCTGACCCTGGGGGCCGTGAGAGACGGGGCACCTGGAGCACCTCCAGCTGGGCCTTTGCAGAAAGGAGACGGGGGAAACCCTGGCAGAATCGGTCAGTATCCACTGAGAGGGAGTGCCCATGTACACACACACATAATAAGCATGCACACACATATGTACACGCATGCACAGGTATGTAATGCAACACGTGCGCCTGTGCATGCATATGCATGTAATGCAACACATGCATGTACCCTGTGGCACACACACATACATATACACACATGTACAAAACATAGATACCCAAATTGCAACCCGAGAAACAGATGAGACAGGTCGGGCCAATGAGTGCAATGAGTTGTGATTCAACAAGTGGCGGGTCCCCTGGGGCCTGGCCTGGCAGGCAGCCTTTAGGCACTGTGCTCTTGAGGGATTGGTGGGAGGGCGCAGTGGGCAGGGTGGGGTGTGTGGCCCGGGGTGGTGGGTGAGTGGGGCACAGTGGGAGGGGTGGAGGATGCAGAGGGCGTGGTGATGGATGTGGTGGGCTGCAGGGCAGAGCATCTTGCCTTTGGGATCAAGGACTGTATAGCATGGCCTTGCCCTCCCAGGCTTGTGGGTGGCCTGGCACAGGCACAGGCCACTGAGGAAGCTCCTATTCAGGACCCAGCAAGGTCTCCCAGAGGCTAGAGCGGGTTCCCCAAAGCCGTCTGTATAGGCCCTCAGGAGTGGGCTGGGGATCCTAGCAGGTCCTGGGGCTGCTACCCAGCGCTGGGTCAGGGGGATCCCTCAGTGACACAGGAAGAAGCTGTGAGCATGGCCAGGTGGGTCGGTGGCCTGGGCCCAGCTGCATGTACAATAGAGTCCACCCCTTGCCCCCCGAGACCTGTGCCCCGCCATGGAGGCTCACCTCCATGTAAAACAGAGCCCCCCCT